AACTTTTCTTGGAATGTTATACAAACTAAATGCAAACAATGGGTCTTATTGCTTATGATGAGAAAAGCAGGTTTAAAGCAATATGCATAAATATTATGTGCATATATTAAGAAAAATGACAGTTATCTAAAATGTATAAGTAACAAAAATGATAAAGAATTATGGGTCTTTCTATAAATAGTGGGGCCAATGTGTGACATTGGGATCAAGATTTCCAAAAAGGTTTGAAACAAAAATAAGAAGGATTTTCATGCAGTTTCACATGTGTACTTAGAGGAATAAAAGTGAATTGACCCATAACTCCACCTATACAACAACATAGGCCTAAGACTATACATCCTTTCAGCAGGGTTTATACAGACATTGGCAAGTCAAATTCAAGGACTTTCTGGGACTTTTTCAAGCATTTAATTGTAATTTCAAGGACTTAAATGTAATATACAATTGTATAATTTATATAATTGTACATATAGGGCCTAATATAGAACCCCCCCAAAAAATGCATGCAAAAGGTGTCAAAGTAGGCCAATACCACTTTAAGAATAATGCATTTTTTAGGCCTTGCCAATGCATTGATATTCAAATTATTATTACATTCTAAAACATGGGAGAATAATGTGGACATTGCCTGACTAAATTGATTGGATGCATGCATGCCGATTTTTCTGTAGCCTATGTGGCCGACATAGGCACACGTAATAAAGCCATGAATAGCGGTAGCATTAATTTGACCATTTGAATTTCACCATCGCTGTTTTTATAATGAGAAAGTGACCAAAAACCATGGGGGTTCTTTTTTCATAGGAAGGAATTGTATAGAAAACCAAGTTGAAGACAACATTAGATGTTGTGGTCCTCATAATACCCTCACGTGGTTTTAACCGCAACAGAGTAGTGCAACACCCTTCAATTGAAGCGATGCGAAACAAATGAAAGTGGCCACATCTCTCACAAAAACGGATCAAAAATGTAATCACAGATCATTATATGGGAGTAGGAGAACTTAGAAATTGGCTACAATAATTACAAGGACTTTTCAAGCACCAAATTGAGTCTGATTTTCAAGGTAGACCTATTCCAGTACTTTAATTTCTGAGCTCAAAATTCAAGTTCAAGTAGGTAGGCTATTTCAAGCCCCTTGCATTGGGTGTTGAGCAATAGTCTATCCTGTACACAATTGCACACAGTAGACTGAGTGTCCAATCCGAGGCACAAAAACATGAACCCATTACCTTGATGCTTTCTCTGTTAAATCTAAGGAGACCCTACTGTAAATGAAGCAGACAGATGATCAACATCACGTCGCTAGGGATATTAGGTCCAACATGGATCCAGGTACAACTGTCTTCACCAGGGTAACGAATGAGACACCAAAATATTCTGGACATTCCTTGCTAACACCTTTTTTCCAGCACTTGGGCTGTTGTTGCATAGCATGCACTATCACAACTGCTGTTCTTCACTTACAGTGGGGGAAAAAAGTATTTAGTCAGCCACCAATTGCGCAAGTTCTCCCACTTAAAAAGATGAGAGAGGCCTGTAATTGTCATCATAGGTACACGTCAACTATGACAGACAAATTGAGAAAAAAAATCCTGAAAATCACATTGTATGATTTTTAATGAATTTATTTGCAAATTATGGTGGAAAATAAGTATTTGGTCAATAACAAAAGTTTCTCAATACTTTGTTATATACCCTTTGTTGGCAATGACACAGGTCAAACGTTTTCTGTAAGTCTTCACAAGGTTTTCACACACTGTTGCTGGTATTTTGGCCCATTCCTCCATGCAGATCTCCTCTAGAGCAGTGATGTTTTGGGGCTTTTAACTCCCTCCAAAGATTTTCTATGGGGTTGAGATCTGGAGACTGGCTAGGCCACTCCAGGACCTTGAAATGCTTCTTACGAAGCCACTCCTTCGTTGCCCGGGCGGTGTGTTTGGGATCATTGTCATGCTGAAAGACCCAGCCACGTTTCATCTTCAATGCCCTTGCTGATGGAAGGAGGTTTTCACTCAAAATCTCACGATACATGGCCCCATTCATTCTTTCCTTTACACAGATCAGTCGTCCTGGTCCCTTTGCAGAAAAACAGCCCCAAAGCATGATGTTTCCACCCCCATGCTTCACAGTAGGTATGGTGTTCTTTGGATGCAACTCAGCATTCTTTGTCCTCCAAACACGACGAGTTGAGTTTTTACCAAAAAGTTCTATTTTGGTTTCATCTGACCATATGACATTCTCCCAATCCTCTTCTGGATCATCCAAATGCACTCTAGCAAACATCAGACGGGCCTGGACATGTACTGGCTTAAGCAGGGGGACACATCTGGCACTGCAGGATTTGAGTCCCTGGCGGCGTAGTGTGTTACTGATGGTTGGCTTTGTTACTTTGGTCCCAGCTCTCTGCAGGTCATTCACTAGGTCCCCCCGTGTGGTTCTGGGATTTTTGCTCACCGTTCTTGTGATCATTTTGACCCCACGGGGTGAGATCTTGCGTGGAGCCCCAGATCGAGGGAGATTATCAGTGGTTTTGTATGTCTTCCATTTCCTAATAATTGCTCCCACAGTTGATTTCTTCAAACCAAGCTGCTTACCTATTGCAGATTCAGTCTTCCCAGCCTAGTGCAGGTCTACAATTTTGTTTCTGGTGTCCTTTGACAGCTCTTTGGTCTTGGCCATAGTGGAGTTTGGAGTGTGACTGTTTGAGGTTGTGGACAGGTGTCTTTTATACTGATAACAAGTTCAAACAGGTGCCATTAATACAGGTAACGAGTGGAGGACAGAGGAGCCTCTTGAAGAAGAAGTTACAGGTCTGTGAGAGCCAGAAATCATGCTTGTTTGTAGGTGACCAAATACTTATTTTCCACCATAATTTGCAAATAAATTCATTAAAAATCCTACAATGTGATTTTCTGGATTTTTTTCTTCTAAATTTGTCTGTCATAGTTGACGTGTACCTATGATGAAAATTACAGGCCTCTCTCATCTTTTTAAGTGGGAGAACTTGCACAATTGGTGGATGACTAAATACTTTTTTTCCCCACTGTAACTGTCATTCAGGAAACTCCTCCCTGGATCAGATGTGTGAAAATATCACAGCCCAACTAATCAGCTGGACACCAAATGTGCATCCAACAAGCATTATGAATAATTATTAAAACCACATTGATGACAGTATAGATTTAGGTTTTAAGTATCAAGGTAAATTGACTCTTTCGGATAGCAGCATTCGATTTTGCAATCGCATTTATTATTTTGGATTTGTGTGCCCATGAAAACTGTTTTCACCAGGTAACATAAGCAGACTGAAATGTTAGGAAGTTACACTGCATTTCTGAGCTCTCTATACAAAAAAACAGTGAGACAGCTAGATCCAGGATTCTTACAGGGTTCAAGTTCAATGTCTAATTTAACTGAATAATGATTAATGTATGATATAATGACAACTTACACCGTCATAAATGCAAGGACAGAAAAGTAATGTTTTATGTCACACGATTTTGGACAAATCCATCAGACATCAACCATGATAAAGGGTTAAACATAGGTTTTTAGTCAACTCGTGAATTATATTGAATATAGCTATGATCCCCCATTATATCTTAATGTAATGACATGAATAAAATGGGCAGATTATTATCAATGACTTATCAACAGCTGTAATACGTTGTCCAGTTTAGGAAATCCTCACTGGTACCCTAGTTTATAGAAAGACCCTTATACAAAATGTGTTTATACATTCTCAAATCACTGCCTATAGCTTAGCCTGTTAGCAATGTAATATGTGCCCCTTGCTCAGTGGAGGCACACCACTCACTCAGTATCTGAATCCTTTCCATCCAAATGGTCAGCAATCAAAGAGCACAACAGAGCACGAGTGTGCAACACAGGGCCAAAATCATTCAGAACATCTTGGATTACTGACCCACAAAATAAACATAATCTGCTGTGTGACAACAGTGTTTGTCAAGACTTGTGTTCTGGCTGGTGCCTTATCTCAAATGTTTCAATTATAGAGTGTCAATGGTGATCTATGGGCTGAATTCCCATGGTTTAGTCAGGGGCTGGCTGCATAAGGTAGAGGTCACTGCCCACGGACCACTCGGCCTGAAGACCAGTGGCTTTTCAACTTTGTCACCCTTCACCACGCTTCTTGTCAGCCATGTTGATTCTATGCTATTGCATCAAGGGCCCTTTGGATCTCTCACACAAAGCTAGGTCTGTATCAATGGACACTTGGACAGGGCTAGAGCAAGTTATAAAACCTCACAGAGCATACAAATAGAACATACAAATAAAATACTTTATATAAAAATCACAAAATCATTAATTAACTCTACTACAACATATAATCATATATTAATTATAAAATGTATATCCATATTTGCCATCAAATTTGAATTGATACCTTTAACCAAAAGTTCCACACAGTGGGCTGTTGTAAAAATTTGAATAATATCATATCTGTGACATCAAAAAAATTTTAAGGAAAAAAAGGAAGTAGCCATTCCTAATGACGCTGTTATATTATTGTCTTAGATTATTGGATTGTTTACATATTTCAGCAGGATGACCGAGTAATCTAGTAGATACATTATTTGGCTTCTGTGCATCAGATAGTTCTGTCTGAGAGAGAGCTTTCATATTGACAGAAGGAATTAAGCCTCCTACTTATCTGGCCCAGTCATGTCTGCTAAGCTCATTAGCGGGGATCCCAATTATCAGAAAGTCAATAGCGCACAAATAGAGAGATTAGAGAGAGCTTAGCCAGGTTGATTCCTGTTTCCTTCACTCCTGATACCACATGTTAACAAGGGGATCCTCATCCTAGACATCTGTAATCCAATTTCAAAAGCAAATGGACATGCATGTACAGTATATGAACTATATGGAAAAATTTTGGGACAGTAGATACAGGTATTTGGTCCTAGTGGTCGGTTAAATTGTTTACCTGAACAATCTGTTCTTCTGCCACTCAACACACTGATGTCCATAGTCTAATCCTGTCTATCATCTGAAAACAACCACCTATGTTGGGCTAACACAGAGAACACTTTAGCTGAAGAATCGAACATAGAAGAATTTAGTTTCAATGTACCGGTATGTATTTTTCTTTTGGTACAAACCAGAGGTGTCCCTAAGGCATAGCTGCTTGGCATTTTGAATCCATTGTACACAGGACTTTGGTAAGAACCGGGACTGTACATCTACAGGAAAGAAAATATACATTTATAAGACAAGCTCTCTCTGTCTTTATAATTGGAGCAGCCAACTGTTTGCAATTGGTTGCATTGATGCTTGGTCAGTGTATAGCACTGTGCATCTCCTCATGCATAGCATTAGGATCTTGACACCAGACCGCTTTCATCTTAATGTTCTTCCTAATGATTGACTTGTGGCAGATCCAGCCATATGTGGAAAAAAGGAGAAACAAACAAAAAACCTATGAATATTTATAAACAGCATCCAATTGAGGACTATATGAGTGGCTAAATGGGGCTGCACCTGTTAAACTGATCTGTGTGCTCTGATGTATCCATGTGAAAAACAAGGAAAAGGCTCATGTAATGAGGAATGGGGGAGTGTGTGTGTGTGTGTGTGTGTGTGTGTGTGTGTGTGTGTGTGTGTGTGTGTGTGTGTGTGTGTGTGTGTGTGTGTTCTACAGGTGTTGGTATCCTCATGTGACTGAGCCAAGGAATTGTTAATAAATCATACTAAAGCCTGTGTAATGGTTTGAATGTTATACTCAGTGAAATGCAGGGGTGCAACTTTGGTTTTAGAAGTGGGGGGGGCATGTTATATATATATATTTTTGTTGTTGTTGGGATAAACACTCCAAACAACCTACCCGACCGCTCGGAGGTGTCCGCATTGTCCTAAAGCATGCCGTTGCCTCATTTTGTATCACATTTCAATTATAAAACTGGGGGGGGGGACAAAAATGAATTTCAGAATGTGGGGGGGACATGTCCCCCCTGTCCCCAGTGAAAGTTGCGCCCCTGGTAAAATGTATCCCTACTACATGCTCTTTTCAGATCACCGTATAGTCCTTACCTTTATACAAATGTATTAATATTTTTACATGCAAACAATATCCCCAAATCTCATGATAAATGCTTTGTTTCTCACTGTGTAGCTGACTGAGGCATGTTGCAGTGAAGCTGCCTGCCGCTGCAACATCTGTCATAAAAACATATAATCTCTGATGGCATGGAAACTTTCAATGGATGTTTGAGAGAAAAATGTGGTCAAAAATAACATTTCAATATAATTAAACAAAATGTAAACTTGCTCAATATATATATTTTATTGAATTAAAAGACCTTACAGCTGACATTCTATGATCAATTTGCTACGCTGTGAGTCAAAGTCAAAACAACATCCATACATACCTCGCCTTCATAATCTCAAATGTTTTCTCCCATATTCCGTTGGCGCGAAACAACTGCTTTTGGCGTCGTTGGAAAACAACAAAGTAAAATACATTGTGAGTGAACTAAATCCCATGTTGAGCCAGATGCTGCGGGCATATTGCAACCATCGATGACCACCAGATTATCGCCAGCTGATGTTTCGTTAAACCATCAATATGCACTAAATTCACCCGCACAGCTGATCTAAATTGCAACCATTATTGGTCACCTCATTACCACTCTCTAAAAGCTGACGTTGGTGTTACCTTAGTTCTGCTTGCCAGGGCCAGATTACGGAACACGCACGCAGGGCACATGCCCCGGGGCCCCCAACCTCCAGGGGTGGCCCCAACTCAGATAGCATATGATAGCAAAATGTGTAGAATTGCAGTAAATTAGCTGTACAACTGCAACATTTTCTCTTAGCCTCATGACAAAATGTGTAGAATAGCATTATAAAACTGCACATTTTTCTCTCTGCTCCATGGAAAAATGTGTTGAAATGCAGTAAATTAGCGGATTCCCCCCTATTTGGCAATCCTTCCATACAACTGAAATAAAGTATTTCCTCGTTTACCACGGAAAATCTATTGTGGCAATTTACCCGAGACGTTGTATGAATGGAAAACTAATGTTGGTGTAGCCTACTCTTATTATTTTATTTGTTTCCAATTTATGTAATCCATTAAATATAACAGTCTTTTTTAAAAAAATGTCTGGTATGGTCATTTCTTATCAAATCAAATCAAATCAAATTTTATTGGTCACATGCGCCGAATACAACAGGTGCAGACATTACAGTGAAATGCTTACTTACAGCCCTTAACCAACAGTTCATTTATTTTAAACAAAAAAAGTACAAATAAACAAAAGTGTTGAGAAAAAAAAGAGCAGAAGAAAAATAAAGTGACAGTAGGGAGGCTATATATACAGGGGGGTACCGTTGCAGAGTCAATGTGCGGGGGCACCGGCTAGTTGAGGTAGTTGAGGTAATATGTACATGTGGGTAGAGTTAAAGTGACTATGCATAAATACTTAACAGAGTAGCAGCAGCGTAAAAAGGATGGGGTGGGGGGGCAGTGCAAATAGTCCGGGTAGCCATGATTAGCTGTTCAGGAGTCTTATGGCTTGGGGGTAGAAGCTGTTGAGAAGTCTTTTGGACCTAGACTTGGCACTCCGGTACCGCTTGCCGTGCGGTAGCAGAGAGAACAGTCTATGACTAGGGTGGCTGGAGTCTTTGACAATTTTGAGGGCCTTCCTCTGACACCGCCTGGTATAGAGGTCCTGGATGGCAGGAAGCTTTGCCCCAGTGATGTACTGGGCCGTACGCACTACCCTCTGTAGTGCCTTGCGGTCGGAGGGCAAGCAGTTGCCATACCAGGCGGTGATGCAACCAGTCAGGATGCTCTCGATGGTGCAGCTGTAGAATTTTTTGAGGATCTGAGGACCCATGCCAAATCTTTTTAGTCTCCTGAGGGGGAATAGGCTTTGTCGTGCCCTCTTCACGACTGTCTTGGTGTGTTTGGACCATGATAGGTCGTTGGTGATGTGGACACCAAGGAACTTGAAGCTCTCAACCTGTTCCACTACAGCCCTGTCGATGAGAATGGGGGCGTGCTCAGTCCTCTTTTTTTTCCTGTAGTCCACAATCATCTCCTTTGTCTTGGTCACGTTGAGGGAGAGGTTGTTGTCCTGGCACCACACGGCCAGATCTCTGACCTCCTCCCTATAGGCTGTCTCATCGTTGTCGGTGATCAGGCCTACCACTGTTGTGTCGTCTGCAAACTTAATGATGGTGTTGGAGTCGTGCCTGGCCATGCAGTCATGGGTGAACAGAGAGTACAGGAGGGGACTGAGCACGCACCCCTGAGGGGCCCCCGTGTTGAGGATCAGTGTGGCAGATGTGTTGTTACCTACCCTTACCACCTGGGGGCGGCCCGTCAGGAAGTCCAGGATCCAGTTGCAGAGGGAGGTGTTTAGTCCCAGGATCCTTAACTTAGTGATGAGCTTAGAGGGCACTATGGTGTTGAATGCTGAGCTGTAGTCAATGAATAGCATTCTCACGTAGGTGTTCCTCTTGTCCAGGTGGGAAAGGGCAGTGTGGAGTGCAATAGAGATTGCATCATCTGTGGATCTGTTGGGGCGGTATGCAAATTGGAGTGGGTCTAGGGTTTCTGGGATAATGCTGTTGATGTGAGCCATGACCAGCCTTTCAAAGCACTTCATGGCTACAGACGTCAGTGCTACGGGTCGGTAGTCATTTAGGCAGGTTATCTTAGAGTCCTTGGGCACGGGGACTATGGTGGTCTGCTTGAAACATGTTGGTATTACAGACTCAGTCAGGGACATGTTGAAAATGTCAGTGAAGACACTTGCCAGTTGGTCAGCACATGCTCGGAGTACACGTCCTGGTAATCCGTCTGGCCCTGCGGCCTTGTGAATGTTGACCTGCTTAAAAGTCTTACTCACATCGGCTACGGAGAGCGTGATCACATAGTCATCCGGAACAGCTGGTGCTCTCATGCATGCTTCAGTGTTGCTTGCCTCGAAGCGAGCATAGAAGTGGTTTAGCTCGTCTGGTAGGCTTGTGTCACTGGGCAGCTCGCGGCTGTGCTTCCCTTTGTAGTCTGTAATAGTTTTCAAGCCCTGCCACATCCGACGAGCGTCAGAGCCAGTGTAGTACGATTCAATCTTAGACCTGTATTGACTCTTTGCCTGTTTGATGGTTCGTCGGAGGTCATAGCGGGATTTTTCTTATAAGCGTCCGGGTTAGAGTCCCGTTCCTTGAAAGCGGCAGCTCTACCCTTTAGGTCAGTGCGGATGTTTCCTGTAATCCATGGCTTCTGGTTGGGGTATGTACGTACGGTCACTGTGGGGACGACATCATCGATGCACTTATTGATGAAGCCAGTGACTGATGTGGTGTACTCCTCAATGCTGTCTGAAGAATCCCGGAACATGTTCCAGTCTGTGCTAGCAAAACAGTCCTGTAGCTTAGCATCTGCGTCATCTGACCACTTTTTTATTAACCGAGTCACTGGTGCTTCCTGCTTTAGTTTTTGCTTATAAGCAGGAATCAGGAGGATAGAGTTATGGTCAGATTTGCCAAATGGAGGGCGAGGGAGAGCTTTGTGTGCGTCTCTGTGTGTGGAGTAAAGGTGGTCTAGATTTTTTTTCCCTCTGGTTGCACATTTAACATGCTGGTAGAAATTAGGTAGAACGGATTTAAGTTTCCCTGCATTAAAGTCTCCGGCCACTAGGAGCGCTGCATCTGGATGAGCGTTTTCCTGTTGATTAATGGCCTTGTACAACTCATTCAGTGCAATCTTAATGCCAGCATTGGTTTGTGGTGGTAAATAGACAGCTATGAAAAATATAGATGAAAACTCTCTTGGTAAATAGTGTGGTCTACAGCTTATCATAAGATACTCTACCTCAGGCGAGCAAAACCTCGAGACTTCCTTAGTATTTGGTTTTGTGCACCAGCTGTTGTTTACAAATATACACAGACCGCCACCCCTTGTCTTACCGGAGTCAGCCGTTCTGTCCTGCCGATGTAGCGTATAGCCTGCTAGCTGAATGTTATCATTGTCGTCGTTCAGCCACGACTCGGTGAAACATAATATATTACAGTTTTTAATGTCCCGTTGGTAGGATAACCGTAATCTTAAGTCGTCCACTTTATTTTCAAAAGATTGAACGTTGGCTAATAGGATTGATGGAAGAGGCAGTTTACTCGCTCGCCGTCGGATCCTTACAAGGCACCCCGATCTGCGTCCACGATATCTCCGTCTCTTCTTCACGCGAATGACGGGGATTTGGGCCTTGTCGGGTGTCTGTATGATATCCTTCGCGGCCGCCTCGTTGAAGAAAAAATCTTCGTCCAATATGAGGTGAGTAATCGCTGTCCTGATATCCAGAAGCTCTTTTTGGTTATAAGAGACGATGGCAGAAACATTATGTACAAAATAAATTACAAATAACACGGAAAAACACACATAATAGTACAATTGGTTAGAGGGCTGTAAAACGGCAGCCATCTTCTCCGGCGCTGTTTAGGTTTATCAAGACTGGGGGTAAAATATCCCTGGTGTGGTGAGGTGATGTCGAAGGAGTAAGGCGCAGGAGGGTAAATCACAGAATAACAGGCTTTATTCCGCAAATACAGAGTTACGCAGAAATGCGTCAAACACTCTAGTGCGCAAAACAGGCGCACTGGAAAATACAAGGCACACCGGGAAATATCCCAGCGATACAAAATACACGGAGCTCCACCAAGCTTAGCTATCCTCCACAATAAACAATCACACACAAAGACAAGGGGGCAGAGTGAACACTTATACAGGGACTGATGAGGGGATATGAACCAGGTGTGTGTAATAAACAAGACAAAACAAATGGAATGATGAGATGAGGAGCGGCAGTGGCTAGAACGCCGAAGCCTGCCCAAACAAGGAGAGGTGGCAGCTTCGGAGGAAGTCGTGACACCTGGACTGTCCATATTTGAGATGTGCAACTAAATCAATCGTGATTGTTATATCATCTATATTTTTTTCTCAAATGAAAATGTAGGCTAATAAAGTTATTTCAAATGGCATATGTTATATTATTTTGCCATTTAAGGTGAAACATTTGAATGAAATATAGGCCTACTACTTATTCTCTAATAAGTAGCCTATTTTTACATTCATCAGCCTTACGGTTTCCGATGCTCCTGATAGGTCCATATTTCATTAGGGGCGGGAGTAGAGAACCTAGAAGCAGCTGTCTAGTATCATTATCACTTCACACAGTAACAACGAGAGATCAACTGATCTGGTGATTTATTCTTGTGGGTTTTTGGTTGCAAGCAAGTTTGCTTTAACACGCAGGTGCATGTAATCTCCTGTTAGTAGCATTTTTAAGAAATCCAGCGGTAATGCATAGCACAGCGCTACATTCTGCCAGTTGGTTGCAATGCACCCTACGAGTCTGACGCACTGAGATTAGAATGATGCGTGTTATTATAGATGATTTTGCTATAACAAGTTTGATCGTTAACGCTGCAATGAAGACTGATAGAGGCATATAGGCCTACTCACCACCACTGAAATACTAGTACCAGATAATGCATTATACCATGTTGTTGTCTAACCTATTCATGTCTCTCTTCTTTCCAACCCAACATGAATGAGATGATATGCAGTAGAGACAAACTTCCCTATTTCTTTTTTCTGTACGGTCATCTTTTTCAGCTCATCGAGTTGTTGGATCCTCTCCTTCCCCCCTTCAACAACCTGAAAGTATAGAAATAAACCAGTGATGAATGTATTGAGTGGTTTCCATTTACTGTTTTGCTAGTTTAAATCATGTCATGCATGTCCATGGATATTGAGGAGAACAAATCTTACTACAGGCTGTTTTGCTGCTGCTTTACCTTTTAAAATGGCCTCCTGAGGAAGCATAACTTATCCTTTTTGTTTCTCCTTCTCTGCACTCAATTTCTGAAATAAAAACATGGTTATAGAAAAAGTTCTGAGAACTCGCATTGTTAGCAAGTGAACATCAGTGGTGTTTTATCAATTTTCAAACTCAATTTAAATAGGGGGTCTTGTGTTTTGTGCCATCCCACTAACTCAGGTCTAACAATGGTTGCTTTTAAACAAACTAGTGGCCATTATAATCAGAACCTAAGCCATCATTGTGAATGGCCATGTTAGCTGATTTAGTGCATATGGTCCGGGGCGTGTGAAGGTCAGGTCAACTCAGGTCACCGCTGGACATCCGCTTTTCTTAAGAGGACCTCCATAAAGAGAGAGACCTCAAATTATGAATTCTGACTCTCAAGACAGATCTGTCTGTCTGTTGTATGAAAATTGCTTAAAGGCATCTGTAATATCAATAGCCTAACCCTCCCACTTTGTTTGTTTGGTAAGCTGAGAGGTGGGGCTGGGAAAATGTATGCTCATAAAATCCTTGATTTATTCTTAGTTATATTCGTCAATAATCAATGGATACCCTATCATTAATTGAAATGCCCATTAAACAGCAGGAAATGTTACATATTGTATGTTCCCATAATCTGAGGGAGTAACTCAGGTCTCAATGTAAAGGCTTGAGACGGAGAGCCAGTTGGTTCCTATGTGGAAATGAATGAATAGGGACAGACTTGCCATGGTGAGTGGTGGGTATATTATACAGTACCTGTGTTGTTCGTCTAGTTAAGACAAGGATGTCAGGATGGGGTTTTGTTTCTTCTCAGTTTGAGAGAAAAAGAAAGGAAGGCTCATTGTCTTTAGAAAGGGAGAAAAGGTGTTAATCCGCAACAATAGGATGTGGCCTACAGCCAGCCTCATCAGCTTGGATAAAGCAGCAGGCCGTAAAACAAGCATATGTTACCCTATAAATCCATACAATTTTCCAGTTTGATCGTCATTGTTTTTTTTCTCTTTCATAACAATTTAGGTACTGAGAAAAACTCCCAGCAAAATCATCTTGTATGTAGGAAGACTTTTGTTGCCTCACATAGATACCGAAACAATAGACAACTCAGCCCATTGCACTGACAAATAACAGGAACCAAAGCAAACGTGTCAACTGGTTGGGTTAGAGACTTGCTGTACAAGGGGCACGTGCTAAATAAGACCATGACCCTGAGTAGGATGAGACAGTACACATTGTCCATTCAAAAACTCCACAGATCCATAATGGTCAGGCACTATGCTCCCTGTATTGTTAAGTCATTCTTTATGAAGTGGACTTTCAACTCCCCTCATTGTGGAGGCCTATTAATCAGGCTAGCCCATCCACTCCAGCCATCAGCGTGTTGTGTCAGCTGCACACTGCATTCCGCTCTCTCTCTGTCTCTGTCTGTCTCTCCCCTCTTTCTACCCCCCCCCCCCCCCCGTCTGTCTCTCTCTCTCAGCACAGGAGCTGTCAGTCTCTATGTGGTCAGTGTGTTGACAGTATCACCCCCAACCCCCCATCCTCCCCCCGGACCAAGGGATGAATAAGCAAGAGTGAGAGCGATATGTAGCTGAAGTGCTGCAGCTTTATTGTTGATAGAGTAAACTGTATAGAGTCAATATAGTGGTGGTGGTGAGGTGATATGTGGGGGGTTATCAAGGCTAGGTGTTAAAACAATCATAAAATGTGTATAATAAAAAAGATGCTGGGGTAATTATAACAAAGTATATATTTTGTGCTTCAATAAATCCAGCTGGGTAATGTGAGGGTAGAAGCAATATGGTGTTATGCTATAATGAGGCGGCAGGACTTTAAAGTTGCAATATTCAGCACTTCACTGTTGACTTATGTAGAACAGGTTGTATTTTAACCCAACTTGGCTAATATCAATAGGACATAGACAACGCACTATCCCAACACATTATCCCCTCTGTTTGCTTTAAGATCCTAATGTCTGCAATAACTGTCCTTCACTGGAGAGACCCAGACTTTTAAAAATCCTGACACAGACAGCAGCACTTGACCGTGGCACGTATTTATCTGTAGAGTATTGGAAATATAATGGTGGCCTCCACGACACGCAAAACGTGTGCAAATCAAATTCAAATCAAATCAAATTTGATTGGTCGCATACACATGTTTAGCAGATGTTATTGCGGGTGTAGCGAAATGCTACCACGTCATATCAGTTACCTCACTCTTGCAGAAGTCTTCAATGCTTTGTATTTCTTTTTCCAGCTCTGGCTGACAAAACAGTAGCAAATGGTTTATAGATCTAGTCTAATTGAGAAGTTAATTGAATAACATCCATTAGGAACACATTATTATCATCTAAAGAGAATACGAGAGTATAATGATGTCACTGAGGCTTGTTCATGAAGTACCTTTGTGGATAATGATTTAAGCGATAAAGCATTTTACGAAAGTGCTTTTTAAAATGCAACTGAAAGAAAAGGATTCAATTTAGTTCAAAAGGACACTGAAGGCCTTGATTCCTTGAGAGGTGTTTGCTAAATGCTATTGTGTAAAATCAACACCCAGGATATATGTTTCTTCAGTTGCATTGACGGAAGAGCCCTCTAAAGACACTGTGGGTGGACGCAAAGATCCACCACAATAATAATTTGGGTAGAGGAAGACAAGACCCACAGGGTTAGCTAGATTCCAGACTGCACCTGCCTGTATGATGGACCTAACTTCACCCTGCTTTCATGACTGACCTCACCCGGCCTAGAATTGGTGCAGCGTCCCACAGTATCTCACAGTGAAAAAGTTATGGGACATGGACAAGACTTCCTCCCATGGGAGTAAAAGTTTATGTGTGATAGCTAATATCTAAATTCCCATGTTCTTTGCCCTTACATATACTGTGGGCATAATTTTTGCGTGAGCAATAGACTGGTCGGGAAGGCATATTATTCAATGCGAGTTCCAAAGAATGTAGCTCTTGACTGCTTCACTTGCATCCCATGAATCACAGAGTTAAACTAAACTCAGGTTTGATTTGATTTGATAATCCCCTCCTTATAGGCTGACAACGTCACGAAACTGATGCGAGCGCATCGATGTGGCCGGAAGCCGTGCTTTGTTATGATTCTGAACATTCAGACAGCTAGCAACAATGACAAGAAGCTGCCATGTGGGGAATCGTAGGTGGCTTGTTTCAACTAGTTTTATCTTGTTCTTGATACCATGTCTTGTTTTGACTAATGTCTATGCTAATATGGCTCAAATTCACTGTAACTGTAACAATGTCTTTGTGAGACAACAAGTGCTCATTGTGCAAATTTATAAATTTTTTAAAGAAACATTTGGAGAATAAATATAGTTTACATGTTGCCAACAATCTAAGCCAACCCCATCTGTCTTGCCCCATAGTTGTGCACGCGTCGCTTTTGTTGCTAAACAACCAACCCGTCTATAACTCACTTCTCAATCTGCGATTGCTACATCCATTTTTTGACATTTTAAATGTATTATATATGCCCATTGATTCTTAAAGAATATAACTTAGAAATGCCACATGAGCTTAGTTCAACTATCCTACCTCATCAGAACCCAAAATATAAGCATATTTTACTCATTTGTAAACGATGTAATTGTAACCAAAAACTGTATAGCCTCAAAACATTGTTAAAACTAGGGTTGGGCGGTATCCAGATTTTCATACCTTCATACTGTTCCTATACTACCGGCATTGCACACAAGGGGTGATATTACATTTGGAAAGAAATAGCGCCCCTTGTGTGCACTGCCGGTAATACCGTATACCCCAGTAAGGTATAAGAAGGATAGGAAGGTATGAAAATCTGGATACTGCCCAACCCTAGTTTTAACCATGTTTTGAGGCTATACAGTTTTCACCCTACAGCTCCATATACATTTCTGTTCTTACAAGTACAGATGCATAATTCATCCTTGATGCAAGCCAACATACTGTTGGTGTTCTATGTGATTGTGACATTCAGGGATGAGGGAGTGAATCATTTGAGATGGGTAGCTAAGCTTACACCCAGCTGGGCTTTCAGTGGCTAGGCTTTGGCCTCCCATTGGAAGTCTCTCCCTCGGGGCCCTACAGCTATGGAAGCACATTTTCTGCTTCATTGATTAAAGTCACCAAAATAACATGAAAAATGTTTTATGCATAAATATTATAGTTGACCTTAATATTGAGTTTGTCAGCCACAGGATGGGTACTAAAGGCCAGGCAACAAAGACATTTGAAAATAGAGAGATCTGAATTGATACACTAAATATGGATAATCCTTTTGACTGATGATTGAAATGACATTAAGGACGTGTTTATTAGTAGTCTTTAACTAAAGCTGCTCTTTAGAAGCTGTTTAGACACCTTCTAAGGTGGGGGTAATTCTGGGGATGATTCTGTCACACCATCTGCTCCACACACCATTAACCTCTACTCATCCCTGGCTGTTTTGTGTTTATTGAAGTGACGAGAGTGGGGTCTATCAACGAGCCACACTTTTGATCTCTAACCAATATGTTTTTGTTGTTGTATTTCTATTGGTGATCATTCTCTCACCAAGATTGCCAATTAGTGTTGTTTTGATTATGATGATGCTCAGTATCATGTTCAGATTCCTTTTAACTGATGTGTTGAGTGCTTTCTATGATGTTCACTCTTATTTTGACCGTTGCACCTAAATCGCCCAAAATGACCTAAGCTATTGTTGGATACTAATAATGAACGCATCCTTCAGGTAGACAATTGTTTTGCATTTCCAAAGAAAACTATGATTGGAGGGAGGAGTAGGCCTGCAGTAAATTCTAAGTATTCTGTGACAAATAAACTAACAATGTATGCCTAATACAATTTAATGTATGTATTGATCAATTGATCAAAATGTGGAATGCAATGAGGTGAAACTTACTCCAAAAGTTTAATTAGATTAAAATGATGCCAGCATTATGTATCCTAGCAACCATACAGGGTCAGGGCAGTACATTCAAGCTAGTGTGTTAGAAGTGGCCAGAGTGAGTGCTTGAGTAACACAGGAAGTGTCACCTTTCTGATTTTACCGCTGCCGGTTAGTATTTAGTGTGAAAAGAGAAGGGGGGCTGTCAAAACAATTATGACTGGTATATTTGCTTTACCAACAATCCATGTCACACATTTCTTTGGGCGATGATTGCTACCTTTCGTAAATGAAAAATACAAGGGAGTAGTTGTTTTGTAAAAAAAAAAATGTTTTTAACATTGGTTAAATCAATAGGACACCTGGTAGGCCCCATCAATAACCAATAAATATATACTGTAGGGATTAGCTTTCCAAAATAGTTGATAGGCACAATTTGTAGAATTTCTAGCACAATTCAGTAAAATGATCTGACAGAATTCCATTCTTCCAATCACATACGGCTATTAAAGAGATAATCTATCTTTAAAGTATCAATAAAGCATGATAAATAATCCTAACCCAACACATTAAAGCACGGCCCTCAAGGCCCATTTGCCAAATGTTTTGCCAATGGAACCCCGCTACCGTGTCAATTATTAACCTTCGTTTTCTCAGTGAAAGCTTAATAGTACGTCATAAAATCATTTAGATCGTCTGCCTCCACTTACCAGTTGCTTTACAGTAAGAGAGATGCAGCAATCTGTTGGCATCCTTCATTTTGATGACAAAACTAACAAACAGTCACCTGCACTGAAATCTATCAGAAAACAAGGCTCTTGTCTTATATTGACCTGGCATATGCTAACAGAACTTTCCCCCCACTCTATATTAGTGGACTGCAAACACTACCAGGAAGACCTGCCTCAAAGGCTGTGTAATGTGAAAAGAACAGCAGTTCAGCATGGGTTGGGTGGAGGGTGGAGAGCTTTGAGACATGTTTTGTAAAGATAGTTTTCTCACCTGCCGAATTCAACATGGATGCACTTGGAGGTTGTAAAGACTGGTGACAAAAGAAAGGATGCTTACCTTCTTTCTTGTGGTGTCCTTCTCAATGTTGAGTACTACACCATAAGTATTTATCCAAAATCACTCCTCTATACAAAACAGTGTATGGTGATCACTTTACTTGTTTTGCCTTACATTTACATTTGCTTTATTTGCAAAACAACTATTGTTGCATTTACCTTTTACAGGGCTTTTTTCTCATCTTCTAACTTTGCTTTCACATCAGTTAGATTATGGGCTGAAACAAGTAGAAAGAGCACTTTGGTTAGTTTAGATAGATAGCAAGAGACAGGAAACACTTCCACTTTCATCTGGTTTTGGGCTATCAGAGGAGTAGGGTGGAGGGGGAAAGTAGGCCTAAGAGACGCGGTTGTTGGAATTTGAGACGGTAGTATAACATGACCAAGGGCACAACTTTGGTTTTAGAAGTGGGGGGAAACATCATATTATTATATTTTTTTTTTTATCCTGACGGATAAACACTCCAAACAGCCTATCCGACTGCTCGGAGGCGTCCCCATGGTCCTAAAGCACACCATTGCCTTGTTTTGTATCACATTCCAATGATAAAACTGGGGGGGGACAAAAATGAAATTTCAGAATGTGGGGGGGACATGTCTCCCCCGTCCCCAGTGAAAGTTGCGCCCCTGAACATGACCATCCACGTCCCATTGTGTTATGGTGGTGGCCTGAGAAAGTCCACTTGAACCCAGTGTGGCCTGGTTCCTGACAGGGTTCTGACCTGGAATTCCGCCCTTGATGAGCTTGGCCTGCCACCCACTGTTCCTCTGGTCTGACCTAAAACCACTAAGTTCAAGGGCCAATACAAAAACCCTTTAGCAGGTGGTTCTTTATTGTATTTGAATGAAGGACATATAAAAGAGGAGATGCTCTTTGGGCAAACACCACACACCACATTTAAAGAATATGGTTAAGGTCATATTAATGAGGTATGCCCTCTCTTCAAAACCCCATCCGATATGAATTATAACATGTAAGAGTCAACTGAGGCATTGGCGCTATCACAATTTATCAGGTGAGATATGTTTGTGCTCCAATTGTGTCTATACAACCAGGGGGACATATTCAGATGGTTACCTAAGTTACATAAGCAATGAATGAACATCAAACATTTAGATAGATAAAGCCCTGATCCTTGAAAATACACCTGTGCACTGTTTACTTTCTCTTGAAGGACTCCCACACTGTGGACTGGATGGCCATTCTGACAAGTGTTGTCAAACATTACAATCTGACCAATGGCTGCCTAACCGTGAGTCATTAGCTCATGTTTCCAGACAATATCTTCTCCAGGGGGCACATGATTAACCTAGTTGAAATGGCAAATTGATGTATGAAGTATTGCACATGGGGTTTAAAAGTAAAGATTTATCAATTACACTAGACAGTTCAACAAAGATCTAAAGTCACAGAATTACATCAATATGGATTTTATGGTCCATAGTGTATGACTTAACATCCTAAATCCTATAAAATTGTAATAAGCAGTGCTTAAAAAACTGCAGGGAATAGGATTTGTTGCCAAAAAGAAACACATCCACACAATACCTTGATCTTCCAACCGCTGCTCTTTAGCCTCCAAAGAATTGCAGACCTGTTCCATGACAATTTGCATGGAGTCAATGTAATCTTTTAGCTTTTCACACACTTGTTTCAGCCATTCTTTCTCTAGGTCCTCCACACCCTCAGAGCTGATCTGAAGAAAAAAATGACAACTCTTTTTTTACTTTTTTTCTTTAATCCGCAAAACAAAAGGCACACAGCTCAAGCTGCGTGGCAAATATGAGTCCTATTCAGAGACAAAGCAATTGTACAACTTTCTGCCTCCTACGATTTCCCCCTGAATAATAAAAAGCCGAGACACACACACTAAAAAAACTCTGGCCATTAGGTTTTTTCTCTCTCCTCTTTGCCCGGAAGAAAGAAGGCAGTACATTATATACAAAGACCATAATTAATGGGGACATTTTTATTGACAGGGATAATACATATCATACTGTTTGTGTGCCCCTGTCATTCAGGTCAATTTATTCTGGAAGTCCAAAGAGGCAGCTGGGCCTTTCCACCCACGGTCTTTGCCCTGGTCTCTAACAACCGCTGCCTGTAACTAGGCAGGGCTGAAGGGGGGAGACTGGGGGTAGTATGCCTGGGCAACACCAGGGGGTTTGCAGAGTGCACAGCTTCCAGGGGGGGGCTTGTTGCCTTTGTGCCTTCCCTCAGTGGCAGCGCTGCCAGTGTCACCAGGATCACATCACATGTCAGAGCAGTGAAGTTTTCAGACTGGGAGCCGCATGGAGCCCATCAGGTTCCTGTGATATCAACGCAGTTGGCCCTCCACTTTGTGCTGGAGTCACCATTCATGCCCTGGACATTAACAGGGCTTTTGCATGCCTGTCACACTTAGGACTGTGCAGTGTGCAGGCGTTCAAAGGCTTTCAAAGCTTCAAGGTCCCCCCTCCTTTTCCCTTGTTTTGTTTCCTCCTCTTCTTTTAGAATGAAAGAAGACAGTACTTTTGTGAAGACCGGTCATATTTGAGTAAAGAAATCTCACTTTTTAAAATAATATGAATGCCTTTTTGTTTCATTTGGAATGAGTCCAAAACTGTGCGAACTCAATAGATTTTTGTAACAGAGAGCCACCCAATACATTCAGGTTGCCAAAAGACACATTAGAATGCAAAACGGAACACAAATAGTTAAAGTCATGCTTCATAACTGCATGCATTCGACGGACTAGCCAATTCTGCTGTATCAGAGTTCAAATAATGAATAAACAATTTAGAGGGATTATAAGGTTAGGAATGCTTGCGTTGCGTGTGATACAGCAGTTTTGATGCCGCGTTAGGCTAGGCTACATGTCATGCCACAGAGGATTACCCAGTTGGTCCTCTCTGTAATCACTATGGGCACTGTTCCATCTACCCTGGCACAGCCCCGACCCGACCGGCATCAACAGATGATCACCTCTCCATGCACCACCGAACACCATCCATCCCTTCTTCTCCCTCCCCCATCCAAGACCACGTCTACTAACTATGAGTGACAGCCATAGACACACGTTTTTCCTGTTTTATGGAGGCTCCCTCTGTCTCTGTTTCTCTCTAAACAACTGTATCTAAAACCCAAAACACTGCCTGTCTGACTGGGACTGTTTCCACTGGGATTGAAGAAGAAATGCTACTTCCTTTACCTCTGGCTCCACCATCTGCCGTAGAGTGGTAACTACGGATGATTAGCCATGCGGTTCTCCCATGGCCGTGACCACTCTCATTAGCACAAAGAACAAAGGAGCGATTCTCCAGAGCTGCAGTCATCCGTTTCACTTTGAGAGGATGGTTTTGTGTGACTGCTCTCCCCGCCATCTGCCTACAGTAGAGCCCCACTTAGGTTGGACAAAACTCAAACACTGAGGGACGAGAGAGGATTTAGCGAGATAGAATGAGGGGCTGCCTGGGATCATTAAAACAAGGCAATTATGGGACTGCACCTCACCTTTTAACACTAAATATCTCATTAACGTTGATTTCTTGGGGGTGTCACTCACCACATAAAAGGTATGAGTGATGAAATAGTGATAAGAAATTAATAGCTTTTGGTAAAACAAGAGGTGTCCATATCACCGCACCTCTCTGGAAGGCATTTTAATCTAACCATGTGTAACTACAATCTTATTGTTCACCACTGGCAGCTCTAGGGGAAACTTTAACAATTCTTGAATATTCTTCAGCTTTGAATGTTCATCATTTAAAATATTATTAGGTTATATTATAAGGTAAAATACAATATGTGATTTGCATCACTACAGTAAGTCGGCAAAGTGAAGAACACACTGATCCTAGCCTACCTTTGTGAAGATTCTCTCCTCATATTCCCTCAGCTGTTCACTCATACACTCGATCTTGAAGTTCTTCTCTTGGATCTCATTCATCAGATCTTTCAGTCTCCCTGTGTCACTGGCAAGAGCTACAACATGTTCTCTTTTTTTAAGGTAGTAATTCTGAAATAAAATGATTCACAGTCAATATATTTCAAAAGCACTATAGCGACATGCACACACAGTGCGGAGCAAGTGCTATTTCATATTTGGTATAAAATAAGAGGGATGCCAACATACCCAGCCATCACCTTTGTCTTAAGACATCTTGTAATGTCTTGAGGCATACAATTGAGACGTCTCAAGACGTCTTGAGATACTTTTGTTCTCAAGACGTCTTAAGACACATTTTGAAGACATGTATTGAGATGAGACACTTTTATGTGTGTCTTCAAGACATGTCTCAAGAGACTAATGTAAAATTGTGCTATGATATTTTATGTTTGGAATTTCGAAATGTTGAACATTTCAAATTCATGGCACATTCTTCAGTCAACTGACATTGACATTCATTTCTTCCAAGAGTGATGATTCTAGAGTGAATGATTAGTATATTAATAACTAATAAAAAATTATATCAACCATAAATTATAAAATGCCTCAAGACGGATGTATTTTCATTGGTATTTTCGAGACGTGTATATAGACTGTCTTAAAGACATCTCCATTTTCTAAGACATGTCTTAGGACAAGACGTCTTCATTTATATGTCTTAAGACGTCTCAAGATGTCTCAAGACATGGTGATGGCTGGGAATGAATGCACAGTGAAACGTGATCGTGTTGTAACACACAGACTAGGGACTCACAGACTGTCCACCTTGTAGATGTCTCTGACTACATGGATTGCATTTATAGCCAGGTTTCCATCCAACCTTTTTATGCAAGTAAAGTACATGTCGGCTAAAACATGTCACGACAGGCCTGATGGAAACAGAACATTTGTCAGTAAACTTTCCAAATGTTGACAAAAATAAATACACTAGACAAGCACCAGGTGGGATCAATTTGTGTCAGTAAAAATAATTATGCGTAAAATGTCGGTGGAGACGCTTTAATGTGGAAATATTGATATAATAAACATTTCAAATTCAACTTGGAGTCACGCGATGACATGCTGTGTGGTCCTCCCACTAGGCCTACGACTTGGGAAACCATGCAGTTTGATGAAATAAATTATGAACTTCACAGGGTGATGAAAGTGCACGGTGATCTTGATGCTCCTTTCCAATAAATATTGAGGGTCTGATTCTAGTGACATGATGATCGATGCTTGACTGCTGTTTAAACAAATAAAAATATTATCCATAATAATCTCATAATGTACTGTATACTAGCCTACCCACACTGTATCTGCAAGCTGTAGGCTAGAGCGCACATGCCAAGACCAGGGTAGGCACATTTGTTATTTAACCCAACAGTTTTTGTGACAAAACTAGTAGTTGCAAGGTACTAAAATGTAGTAAGTAGGTACAAAGTTGCTAATTAGCTAAAGTTGTCCGTGATGGATAAAGTAATCCTTCTACCCCCCCCCCCCCCCCCCCCCCCCCCCAAAAAAAAAAACTTGTAAAGTGGTTATCCCACTGCAGGGTGAATGCACCAATTTGTGAGTCGCTCTGGATTAGAGCTTCTGCTAAATGATGTAAATGTGCCCTTGAGCAAGGCACTTAACCCTAATTGCTCCTGTAAGTCGCTCTGGATAAGAGCGTCTGCTAAATGACTAAAATGTAAATGTAAATGTAAAAAATGTAAATGTAAATGTAAATGTAAATGTAATGAGATTCGAAAACGCAACCTTTGGGTTGCTAGATTCCGCGTTATACGCCCACCCACCACGACCAACCACCCTCTTTTTGTTTTTGCTTTAAATAACGTTCTGTCTTATGTAACCATACCAAACGTAACATCAACTAATTTGAGTGTCCAGGATTTACATTTACTATGTTACGTCTAGTCTATGAGACCAGGCTGGCTACTGAAGTAGCTACTCAGTTTTGGTTCCTTCTTTGTTGAATTGGTATCACTTTCAAACTTTGGAGGATGAATACTCCACAAAGCTCCCAGCGTGCCAATCAATTTGTTGAACTCTGCAGGCAAGGGCAGTCATTGCTGCTCCCTTGCTAACACTCTCTTCCAAACAACAAAGCCTCCATATGCCCTCTCAGTGGGGACTGGGGCAGATATAAGAGCCATGCATTTAGGCCTAAAGTTATAGGAGTTTATAACTAATGAGATGAAAGGGGATACTGAGTGAATTGAATCACTGAGCAAATGTAGAGGAATGCACTGTCACTCAGTCATTTCACATTATTTGTTGCTGGTCTGATTGCAGTGTTTTGTATCTAAAACAAAAAGCACAAGACTAATAATTGGAGTTGTTTGAAAATATAAACTTTTCAATTGTATAAATCTATTTTGTAATATAACATGTGAATGTAGCTATTGTATGGAGAAACAAAAAGTTATGTTATTATGCAAGCAATGTAGAAAGTTACCTACCTTTTGTCATGAGCCTCTCACTCCACCGGGTTACCACCTTAATTTTCTTCCACTCTGCTCACCACTCTCTCTACTCAGCCTAACTAGCTCCACCTGTCCCTGCTCTGCTCTGCTCTAATTACTCTGCCAGCTGCGCTGCATTACCCACTACCTCTCCCAGTATTTAAGGCCCTGTCTTTCAGCTCTCCGGTGTCAGATCGTCTGCAAAGCTCACACCCGGAACCTGTTTGCTCGCGCTTCTGGCTCACCCTGGTTTTGTGACCCCGGACCTGCCTGATTTTTGGATACTCTTCTGCCCCAGGAGATCCAGACCTGCTTCTGCCATAACGACTCCTGACTACTCTTCAATCCCGGTAACTCTGACCAGCCTTCTGCCTTGCTACTACGTATTTTGGATTTCCCTTGAACTGTACTGCTGCCTTGTTTCATTCCGCCCTGTTGTGTCTGTGTCTCCCCCCCCCAGGACTTCTGGACCACCCACCACCGGCTTCATAGGACGCATCGCTGCCACTGGGGGGGGCACAGACCCAGCACATTGGACGGGATCCCTGTTACCCCTGGAGCCTTCATTCACTCCCTACTTCCCTTTTCCCTTAAGTTTTAATAAACTTTCTGGTGTGACGCAATTGTGGTCCTCTGGTCGTCTGTCTGAACCGTGACAGTACGATCTGACCATTATGGACTCAGCGCACACTTTCCCCGACATGGAAACCGATGAGCATGAGCAGCAGTTCCAGCAGCAGCAACAACAACTCGCCATGATCATTCAACTCCTCACCAACCTTACCCCAGCCAGTCTGCCCACCAGCCCTGCCCCCGAGTTACCTGCCCCGGTCATTGCAGCCGCTGCTCCGGAACCCAAGATTGGAAACCCCGAGCGGTTCAACGGCGATTCAACCCAGGTCCGGCCATTCCTGACTAGCTGCCGACTTCAGTTCTCCTTGCAGCCAAGGACCTTCGCCACGGAGGGGGCTAAAGTTGGGTATGCCATCACTCACCTGACGGGCCGAGCTCGACTCTGGGGAACAGCAGAGTTCGAACGTCAAACCCCCGCATGTGCAACCTTCGACCTGTTTGCTGAGGAGATGCTGAAGGTGTTTGACCTGGATTCACCAACCGCAGAGGCGTCTCGTGAACTGTTCAGTATTCGACAAGGCAGACGTACAGTCGCAGACCATTCCATCGACTTCCGAACCCTGGCTAGACGAAGTTCTTGGAACACACCATCGTTGGTGGACGCGTTCTTCCATAGTTTGGCTGACTATATCAAGGACGAGTTGGTCTCCCATGAACTGCCTTCCACTCTTGATGAAGCCATCGCACTGACTGTCAGGATCGACAGAAGGATACAGACCCGTCGTCGTGAGAGGGGGCGCCAAGGTCCACCTACTACCGGTATTCGGAGAGATCCGACTGGGCTCCTGTCATCTACTGCCACTCACCCAGGTCAGCTTGATCAGTCTGAGCCTATGGAGATTGGGCGAGCCTCTCTCACTCCTGCAGAGCGCCAGCGCCGCTTCACCTCAAACCTCTGCCTCTATTGTGGAGGTGATGGACATCGTGTGGTAACCTGCCCTTTAAAGGGCCGAAGCTCACCGGGCATAGGGGGAGTCCGGTTGAGTTCAATGACCATCCAGTCCTCCGACCGCAAACCCCTGCTGCAAGTTCACCTCCGCCTCTCTGACTCAACTCACACCCTGGCTGCTCTGGTGGATTCTGGCGCCGAAGCCAACATAATGGACATCAAGCTGGCACGCCAACTGGGACTGGAGAACCTCCGTTTGACACCTCCTATTCCTGCCCGGGCACTGGACGGACACTTACTCGGATCGGTCACTCATGTCACGGCCCCGGTCTCGATGGGTCTGTCCGGAAACCATCAAGAAACTATCCAGTTTCACCTGCTCCCCTCTCCAGGCCAACCCCTCATCCTGGGTTACCCATGGCTCCGCCGGCACAACCCTCAGCTCGACTGGGTGACCGGGGTGATCAAGGGAGTGGGGAGAGGACTGCCACCGAACCTGCCTGCTTGCTGCCGCACTACCCCCTCGGCCAGTACCTACTAACTCCGCTCCTGACCTCTCCAATGTCCCAGAATGCTACCATGGTCTCAGAGAGGTGTTTAACAAAGCAAGAGCCACATCTCTGCCCCCTCACCGACCGTACGACTGTGCCATCGACCTCCTCCCTGGAACAGCCCCTCCAAAGGGTCGTCTTTATTCGTTGTCTGCTCCTGAAAGAAAGTCCATGGAGGACTACATCAATGGCTCTCTGTCCGCAGGATTAATCCGTTCATCTTCATCTCCTGCTGGTGCTGGCTTCTTCTTTGTGGGGAAGAAGGACGGATCTCTTCGCCCCTGCATCGACTACAGGGGACTCAACGACATCACAGTGAAAAACCGTTACCCTCTGCCTCTGCTCACCTCTGCTTTTGAGTTGCTCCAGGGAGCCACTGTTTTTACCAAGTTGGATCTCAGAAACGCTTACCACCTAGTGCGGATCCGGGAGGGAGATGAATGGAAAACCGCATTCAATACACCAACAGGCCACTACGAGTATCTGGTTATGCCTTTTGGCCTCACCAATGCTCCTGCTGTGTTCCAGGCTCTAGTGAATGATGTACTG